GTGGGTTTGCGTAAAGCCTTTTCCGTAGAGTAAGGCAGCCCGCGTAGTATTGGTAGAAGCAATTTTGACGACCAGTCAGAGCTCCAGACGTGCATGTTTCCCGCCTCTGTGAAACCTGGGAACCTGGAGTGGTGACCCACGGCGCCCAGAAGGTAGCAGTGGTTACAAAAAAACTCTATCGCCAAGGACTAGGGGCTCGGGGCGGTAACATGATTAACGTGCATTTCATCTCTTGGGGAACTTTGACTGGCGACCCAGTCCCTGCTTAATATAGGGGTTACTCATTTGGCACCGATCAGTGTGGTGCCGATTGGCGGAGCATGTTAGACAAACACTATTATTATTATTATCTATATACTACCAATTCTTATACATGCTTTTTAAATCTGAATTGTACATAATACATCTTTTTTTCCATCGAAAGTTTACTTTGCGGAGCGCTATTTTGTCGTGCACGGAATGTATTATTCACGTAGCCCCACGTTCAGCAAGGATTTACAGTATAAAATAAGTTACCGTTAAACTTACTTTCTAAAATGATAAATTTGGATTATTTATTGTAGCAAAGCATGCATAGATTGTGTCCTATAAAAGAGATACTCTTGAATGGAGCTGTTATTATTTATGTTGCAAGCTGGAAAACTCACGAAAACTTTACAGAGCCAGTCCGTTAATTCCTGCGTTCTCTTAGCAAAAGGAGTTTCTCTTTTGCAAATAAAAGAAAAAAAAGAGATAAAAGTTGACTTAGCGTATGTTTTACTTCAAGCAGCTAATTTAATAATTCTTATTCTCTCAACTTTTCATAGCACGAAGTAGTAAAACATTCAGGCACACAGAAATTGTTATTTTCTGAAATATTTTGTCTACTATTTAAAAATCATATACATTTTCTTAAGAATTTTTTTAAATTGTTATTTGTCGAAAGATGGGACATTTTGATCAATTTAGCAAAACTGTATTTTTTATTATCATACCCTTAAAAAATTCGATATTTATAACCCGTAGATATTCCCATGTTATTTATTACGAAAATTACCAGTTTTATTGTATTTTTCGTTGACCAAAAAAAAAAAAAAAAAAAAAAAAAAAAAAAAAAAAAGCGGCCAAAATCAAATATCAAGCTTACAAATTTGAGACGCTGCATATATTTCTATCGTAACTAGAAGAAAACGACTACTATACCGTTAAGTTCAGGTTCGAATCTGGTAAATAAGATTGGTAATTTTTATTGTAATGACTTGGCTTTGTAAAAGCAGGCAATTAAAATTTGTCGAAATATATCCTCTCTGTAGAATTTTTAATAGTGGAAATGGAATATAAAGACCTAAAATTGCACTCTTTTTTTTTTTTTTTTTTTTTTTGTTGTATTCCATCTTCATTGAAAACTTTGATAAGTTGGACAGAATTATATCATCCCCGTAAAAGTTCTTCAAAGTTTCCTTTCATTGTGCGAAACGAAATTATAAAGGTACCGAACATTCTCCAGCCATTATTTAGATTCTTCATAAGCAACATCGGAAAATTGCCTTATGTTGGTTGTGGATCATCCTGAGTATTTTTCATGCTCTGCTCGAATAAAAAGCTAAGCAGAACTTCACGAAACACAATGTTAAGGCGCCGAAAGAACAGAGTCAGCAATGGTGCTACAATTTTAGTTTTCATAACATTTGATTCTATTATGATTATTCATCAGGTAGTCCTTTTTGCGAACGAAAATAAACAAATGAAAAATATAATAACAAAACTAACCCAATTTTTTTTAAAAAAAATAACTGTTGCGTAAAAATGAAAAAAAAAAAGTATTGGTCCCTTTCGAATCCTTTCAATTTCTGTTTCAATCTGGGATCATAATTGAATTTTTTATTATTAAAATCTCTTTACAGTATGACACTTTGTCAAATAATTGATGGTCAGTTAACATTTTTTCCGTCAAAATATTTTCTTGCAAAAGTTTTCTTGATTTCTTTCTATTCCATCTTATTTCTAGTTCAGAATCATTTAAATTCCTGTAACTGATTGAAAAGTTAAACGGGCAACACTATAAACGGGCACAACGAAGAAAAAGGCCAAAATGTTTTTCACAAAGAATTATTTTTCTAAATCATCCAAGTTTCATAAAAATATTTCTAATATGCATTATGTATTTAATATGCATTTCGAGCACACATTGTGGATTATACTTGTATTCCAAAGCAACAAAAATACGTTTTCCTTTATGCAAGCTAGTGCTAACAAAACTTGCTGTGATTGCTTACTAAACAGAGGCTACAGAATTCGGAAATTTTCCAGAACATACTCAGACACGGAATTGCCCCGCATAATCCAGAAAGTTAGATACCCTATCCAGGGCCGGCCCTAGACATTTTGCCGACAGTTGCCTTATCCTTGGCTTGTAAATTATGCCATCCAGTGCCTGCCAAAACTTTAAAACTTTTACCTCTCCAAATTCCGCTGCCCTATGCAGTTGAAGTTGCATTGCTTCTAGCGCCTTCCTGATCCTGTCCCATACTCGTCTATTAATAGCAAGATGATGCACTTGGTAATAATACGTTTTTAGTAAAACGCGTTTATACATCACTCTCTCTTTCTGCAGTAGAGTGGCAATCACAGCTACACTCCAATGATCATGAGAAAGTGATACCTCACTGGCGGTCCATTCAGAATTAAATAATGATGCGTGAATAGGATTAGCAGCCTGAAGTCGCTTTCATATTGCCGGTGGCCTGCAAATATAGGTCACGGCCTATTGGAGGAACTGTGAAGTACATACACTGTAGAAGTCTGCTTTCCGCCCTGCTCTCTTCCCCTGACGTTAGGGTCACTGAATCCTGCTAACCTCATTTAGTTCGTTCTCGATGGTGGTGATGGTGGTTGAAACTTGATTGTGAAAGTATTTTTTGCTAAAGCTTTGTCACGCGAATGTATTTTATGGCGTTAAAAAATACCTTAATAAATGCAAGGAAACATTAACATACATAAGTATGGAAATAAGGAATAACATTAACATACATAAATATGTAAATAATGAATATACATGATTAGAACAATAACTTTGCCCTAAGATACGTAATAATTACCCTTGCTGTCGAAATCAAATAACGTTTTTTTCCCTTCCAAAGAATACTATTTAGAAGAAGAAGAAGAAAAAAAAAAAAAAAAAAAAGAATTGCAGTCGAAAATTTGTTTATAGATCTAGAATATTTTTCTGCTCCAGTTGCAGGTGGACTACAATTGCAATGTGTAGAACTTCACAACTGAGATTTATGAATGGATGATTGTGCGGGCTTAAAACTAAAGAGTAAGTCATGATTAGTATTTTTGTTCGATGTGCTTCGATTTCAAAACCGTATTATAATAAAGTGTTTAATTAGGTCTGCCAGGTAAGACTAAAGCACAAAAAAGTTAGTGAGGGTCATTGTCTCAGCAACATAATCATCAAGGAAACTTAAAAAATACTTCCTTCTTCTGAAAGAGAAATCAAAACTTGGTTCCAGGGCAATAACGTTTGAAGCAAATTCTATAGCTTGTTCCAAAATATCTGCAACAACCATCTTTTTCAAATTTTTCTTTTTTCTTAAAATCTTTTTTAGGGGGGTTAGTTTGTTAGTTACATTACGAATCTGATGTTTTAAACTTAAGATTTGAAAACAACTGGATCCTTTAAACCTGTAAAATGTCTGAAATTTTTTACGAAACTACCATCCAAATTATAAATCTATTAGTGTCAGGTAAAGACTAACAATTCGATCAGTAATGAATTCATGAAAAGTGGAGCCTATCTCATTTGGAAATTTAGGCGAACTCGCACTTCAGATCCAGACTACGTTCATTTATTTAATTTAAGTAATAGTTGATTTGACAGCTTTTAAAAGGCAAGGTCCCTCGCGACTGCGAGTTGCGGCACCTTATAAATCTCTCTCTGAATTCCATAGAAGTCCCCGCGGGAAAGCATGGGTGTTTCTGTGGTTTTTTCCACGCATAATGTGAATAGCTACCAGTTTCTTAAAAAGTACACCACGAAAATGTTCCACTTCTTTTAGACTAATAGCCGTTGCACGTTGTGCCTTGATCGATTAAACAAGCAGACTCCAAAATGATGTACGAGGTTTAGCATTAGCGTTATTTTCTAAAATACGTTCAAAATTTTTAAGATATATGTTTACAGGAAATTGTAAAATTGTCACACCGGACTGCATTAATAATTTCAGTAGTATGAATGCTTAAGGTCAATATTTGAGTTTCGGTAGATTTTTAGATTTGTTCCAGTGGCAACGCAATTAATTCGAAAGATAACAAACAATTCATCCTGAACAATCATATACTAATTCAGTGTTTTCAATCTTGAATTGCATGTGGGCCGAATGCACGACCTGAAAGCAGCCAGCAAACCGAACTTTTTTGTTTTGTTTTGTTTTACACCGCTTCCAAAATCTTTTTTAACAAAACGAATTTTTTAACTACATTTTAAATTTTACTTAATAAATATTTAACAAAACGTACATAAACAGTAATAATAATGATACAAAGGAGTAAATTCCAATTTAAGTTTATTTTTTGCATGGTATCTAAAAGATTGGCAAATTTATAGTAGTACAGGAAATGTCTGTTGGTTAAACTTCTGTAATTTAAAAGTATTAATGGCTGAATTTTACATTTTCGAATTAACGCTCATTTCAAATGATACTAATATCTTGAATTAACCACTAAATAACTTTTAATTTAATTAAAAATAATAATAAATAAAAATTTAATTAAAAATAAACAAATTACGAAAACTTTTCAAAAATCTTGAGAATAAATAATGACAGTCTGTACCCTTTCTTGTATTTATTGAAATTTCCCTCGATGCACACAGAAAAAGTACATATATTTATGAATAAAGAATTATTAATTTCTTTATTTTTTACACCTTTCAACTACCTAAAACGAAACATGTCATGGTGTTTAGGTTTTGGTAAGGTTTATAACCTTAGAAACGAATAATTAGAAATTATTTTCACCAGGAATTGTAGATGCTCGTCAGTCAATTTGGTTCTTCTTTTATACTTTGAGTTTTCAACTGCAGAAAAATAACTGTTGGCATATAAATGTATTCTGAAAAAAAAATAAATAAATAAATAAATAAATAAAAAAATAAAAAAATACAGTGTAAATTAATTAGCTCTATTTGAAGATTTTTCTGAGATATTAGTCGCGTTAATTTTTAATAGTATACAAAATAATGCAAAATTGGACTCGAAATCATAAAATCCTATTTTTTTTCAAATTATTTCCATAATAATTAATACAATAACAATGTTAATTAAATTATGGAAAATGTATTCGCAGGCCGAGTAAAAGTGGTTCGGGGAGTGCCAGTTTAAGATCACTCATTCTAATTTCGATGTCGGACAAATCTACTGTACGAACCAGCTGCATTACTAATTGGTACAGCTAGGCTCTCTGTCATACAAAATGAATTTATGAACAGTCTACATGAAAATATTAAAATTATCGATTCTTCAGATACAATAGCAAAAATTGGTAAAATCCTAGTATACGGTGCAGTCTTGGCGCGACTTTGAAAATTATCGCCACACCAAAAATGATCCAAAGAACGTCTATATATACACTATATACTATGTGTGTATATACATAGTATATATACTATATACATAGTATATACTATGTTTAACTATATATTTTTCTTTGAATGACTCGTCAACTACTCATCGCAATGTCCGGTTTTAGCTGCTTAACATAAAGTCGCCAAAAGTAGCCAAATCCCGTGTGCACCGGATACTAGGATTAAACCCAAAAATTTAAGTATTATGATCTTGGTAAAAGTCCAGCAATAAAGATACATTTTGAGAATCTGAGCCCATTTAACGAAAAAATAAGTACAACATCATTTAAAAATTTAGTGAAGAATTTTAAGTGCTTCACACACTTCAAATAATATCATTATTTTAGTACTCATGACCATCCCCCAAAGAAAACCTAGAAAATCACAGTCGAACAAGGTTTTTGCTATCACCAAAGTATATTCAAACAAAGCTACCAATGATCATAAATTTGAATCATAAATTTGAAAATATTAGGCACAATCTAAATCTAAGCATCTACAAGAAGATATTCATGGTATTCACTAATTAAAATTCACTAATCAATATCGTAGTACGCATGTCATTGAAAGTTACTTTCAACATCAGTTTGCTGACAGCAGTTTACAACACAAAAATAATGAATGTGAAATACAATACTTCCATTTTTCTAAACAAGAAATGCGACTTTCGGCAATCAGAAGCAAAGATAACAATGAGATTAAAAAGCGTCGTTTACCACATTTGAAAAAAAAAAAAAAATCTTCTTTTATCTTTTAGGGTTATTATGTTTTATCAGCAAGAAATTCGTATGATACTAAATAATTAACTTATTATCTTTTTGACTCTCCTGAAGTTGAAGAATTCTAACTTGTTAAAAATGCTCCTGGTGAATCTGTTTTGAGGCTTTGAATATACTTGTTAAGAATTCGACAATTGTTCAAAGAGTCAGATGTACAAAAATACTTTTCTCTTTATCTCTAAATTCGTGAATACACAGAATTCTGAAACTAAAATAAGATAAACGGTGTGTGTCATTTAATTTTTTCTTTTATAGCTTTATAACAGTTACAATCTTCTCGAATTAAAAGATTCAATTATTTTTCAGCACATAAACTTAACAGTACTAATGTTTAGGAAATTTTATAATAAGTCTATCTGGACATGTAAGTAAGGCATTTTTGTAAATTTTAAATGATCTAAATGAAATCTAAAGACTGCTCATAATGATATCTTTTTTACTGAACTCTTTTTTTTTTTTTTCTTTTTACGTAATCGTAAAAACGTCAAAGGAACTTTTGCTTTAATCCTCCTGTTTTCCAGGTTAATAGATCCACCTGTTTCTTCTGACAATAATTGAGTAGTTCGAGCTGCAATAAACTACATTTCAAACTGCAGTTTTCTGAAAATGGAAAAAGACGCTTAAAAATATCAAAAGACAAATTAATGTTCACATTTATTATTTTTATTTATCAATTTAATATCAAAAGCCTCTTACTAATGCAGACTAACGGCTTTTCTTTTTAAAAAATAATGTATATTATAGTTTGTCTGTAAAAACAACTCATCTAATTTTTCAGGCTTACAATTTTTCAAAAATACAATTAAAATACAACATTGCTGTAAAGTAATAAGCTTTAAAAATACTCTAACAATGGGCGTTCCCCGATGATGCTTAACTAAACTTTTAATTCCAAGAAAACGGAAAACTTTTCAGAGATTGCTTTAGATAATGAAATCAAATCTGATCCTACTTCGAAAAAAAAATTGAAAACTTATTAAAAACGCAAACTTACTGAAATCATATGATGACCTTCAAACGAAAATTTACTTAATTCTTCAGATGACCAAACTGCTGTGTTTCTTGTAGGATTCATAGTTGCTCTGGAGATGTAGAAAATCATAGTTCTTGGAAAAAGTATGCGATAAGGTTCAAAGTAAACAATAGCAGAGCTAAGTATTTAAACATGTGTTCCTAAAATCCTATCCTGTTAAACTTTCTGTGCGGGGGTATCAAACGTGGGTGTGGTCGTAAAAATTATTATACGGGGAAGGGTGTTCGTCGAATTCAAAACAACGGCGTTAAGAAACTTCTAAAAGATGCTGTTTTCTGTAAAATCTGAAAACGTGAAAGTAGTATTGGCTCAAAGTTCCGGAACAGAAAAAATATATGTTGTATAAGACCAAAATCTTCACGTAATCGGTGTACAAAACGTCTCTGAAACTAAAAAGTCCCATTTTTTTAGTAAAAGCAAGAATACTTGCCAGTACAAATTTGTAAAATAGTAAAAGGAAAGCATACGTAATAATCGAAGTGGAAAAGAAATAAGATCTTTGTGCATACCTACATTAAATTTCTTATCGTAATTATCCAAAAACTACCTCCGATTAAGGTTTAAGTAATAATTATCATATCACTATAGATGAGAAATTTAAAAAATGGTAGTTAGTACCAGCTTTCTTTAGATTTATAGAAATTTTGAAAAAAGGCGTTTTATTCTGTAAGAGAATTTTGAATAAATAATTGATTTCTTCTTGTAAGTATTACACTTTGTTGCAAATATTTTTTATTCTAAGGAGCTGAGTATGTATGACTAGTTAGACTGTTAGACTCTTTTGGAGATATTGGAGTGCCAATGGATGAGTTTAATAGTACAGAGATCAAAATCTGTTCTTTTGTCGTAAATTTTGATATCTTTAAAACTGATAATTTGCAAATCAAGGTAATTAATATCTCCTTTTTGAAAGTTAGTTTTATTGCGTTTCAGACATAAAGGACAAATGTGATCTAATTCTGTATTATTGAATTTGTGGATTTAAATAATATCATCCATGTATTTGTGGATGTTAGTGTAATATGTACGTTGTGCTAGGCATAACTGTTTTTAGAAATGAAATTCCTTGGTGCAAAAGTACAAATTACAAATCTCTGAGCTAGTGCTGTTCCCCATCGGGATTCCATTGATTTGTTTTAAAAAAAGTTTTATTAAAAGCAACGTAGTTATTTAAAAGAATACATTATAAATATAGCTGCCATTCTTCTTTGGAAATAACCGTAATAATTTTGGAAAAATGAAGAGTTAAAGACGTAAAAACCTCTTAAGGAGGTTTATTTATTTTAACTAACATTTATTTTAAGTTTAAACTATCTTTCCTGTCAAGCCTTACTTTCCCCTGGAACTGCCAATGCCAGAATATGTAAATTTGAGTAGAACGCGCAAGGATTCAAATTATCAGCGGAAGTATTCTGATTTAAATAGAAGGAAACGAGTTCGGTGTGATATTCTTACTTCAGCGAGCGCGGAGGTAGTTAGCGAGAATTGAAGAACCCCGCGTTGCGGCCTATGTGCTTGGCGGGAAGTAGTGGTTAATCGTTCCAAGTGAGCTTCAAGTCTGCTGAATTAGCAGCGGTATTGTAAAACGCGGTGAGTTAGTTATTTTAGAGAGCCTCGTAGTTAGAATCTTGTCTTTAGTTTCTTTTCAGGTTATTATTTTTATTTGACTGCCGAGTTGGCACCGTCTGTAAGCGTCAAGAGAAACGCAATTGTAATTTATTACGTTGAATAAAAAGGGACTTAAACCCTTCACAAGACTCTGTCTTTTATACAAGTTTTCACAGTCACCTCTTGGTTGCGTGCAAGTTGGAGGCGCGCAACGTTATATTGGCGCCCCCGAACACTTATCGAACTGAAATGGCCGAAAATTGGATGGAAGCCGCTGGACAACACCAAGAAATGACAAGCTCAGTTAGAAGGATTTGGATACCTGGTCCAGACTTTGAGAGCGTCAATCAAGCCAAACGTCTATTTCGACGGAAAAAATTCGGTGGCCGGTATTTCTAGAAGGTCTAGAAAACCACTTTCAGCTCTACCCTGTGCCTGAAAGACAAAAAGTTGCCATCGCCACATCAGCACTAAGAGGACAGGCCGCGCTATGGTGGAAAAAACATAGGCAAATTTCTTACTAGGTGAATTTGGAAGCCAGACATATACATTTGAAAATTTCAAAAAATCGTTAGTAAAGGCCTTCCCCATAGTGAAAGATCGCGCACGGCTGGAAGCCGAACTATATAGTTTCTATCAACGGGATACAGCAGAATTGACGGACTTTATTTTACGAAAAATCAAGCTAACGGATATGCTGTATGGAAAAAAAAAACCCGATGCGGAGATTATTGAAATAATATTACCAAGATTGTTACCCGCTGTCCAAGACTACTTTGAAATTAGAAACCCAAGCACATTGCAGGAACTTTCGAATTGGCGGTGAAGTTTCAAAATCGCAGAATAGCGGAAAAAAGCGAGAGGGGAAACATATTCTCAAAGTACCCGAAGGAAGGAGGAAACCAGAAATGGAAATCGCTCATATGGGGGAAAGAACTATCAAGCTAACGCATCGAAACTCGAAGGTCAAGGCCCAAAAAGAAAATTTGAAAATAAACATCCGCGTACCCAGAAGACACACAGATTGAAAGGAAAGCTTTAAACGACTAGAGGGGCCTGTGAAAGGGAGGGTCCAGACCCCGGAAGTTTTAAAAAAACCCTCAAATAGACATTTAAATACGGTCATCGTAAAAAACTCACAGCTACCAATTATACAAGTCCTGGTTGGCGATGTACCAGTAGAAGCCCTCATCGATACAGGAGCAGAAGGAAATTTTATGAGTGAAAAGTTTCTTCAAAAAGAATTTTTATAGGATACGACTTATTTAAAACCAGAAAATACGGAAATTATAGCGGCGCAAGGAAAAACATGTCACTGCATCGGGAAATTATCATTAAACTTACAGGTAAAAGAGGAAAATCTCAAAGTATTAATTTTTGTGGTGAAAGACCTGCAACACTCTCTTATTTTAGGTATGGACTTTTTAAGGGCCGCGAGGGCCAAATTAAATTTTCAAGATAGTTCCGTGGTGTTGGAGATGGACCAGAGGGTGGTGGAACCTGTGGAGACACCTGAAGTGGACCTTAGCCATCTGAATGACCATGAAAGTAAAGCAATACAGCAAGTGGTGAGTAATTTTTCTCATTTGTTTTCAGAAAAACCAGGAAACTGTCCAAATAGTGACTCACAAGATTCAATTAAATGCCGAAAAACCTTGTAGGACTAAACCGTATCGTTATGATAAACAAAAAGACGTAATCATCGAAGAACATATTCAGGAGATGTTAAAGAATAAAATAATAACGCCCATAAAATAGTGAGTACGCGAGTCCAGTCGTACTATGTAGGAAAAAGAACGAGTTTCCTCCTTCGGATAAAAGGGCTTGGAGGTTTGCTATCGATTACAGAAAACTAAATAGTATTACTAAATTTCCAGTTTACCCTTTGCCGGTTATAGACGAGATCATTAGACAGATCAAATCGACAAGATATATGTCTACTTTGGACTTAACGTCTGGCTACTATCAAATAGCTATGAGACCCGAAGATATACATAAAACCGCGTTTATAACAAAATCGGGCACTTATGCATTTTTACGCATGCCCTTTGGGTTGTGTGGGGCCCCATCAACATTCCAGAGAGCTATGGACATTGTTCTAAAGCCTGTCCTAGGAAAATCAACTTTAATTTATCTAGATGATATAATTATAACGAGTAGTACGTTGGAACAACACATTAATGACTCGAACAAGTTTTTAAATTATTAAAAGAGGCCGGTCTTACAATTAACGCCTCAAAATGCAAGTTCGCAACTAAAGAACTTAAATATCTCGGTTATAAAATTTCGCAAAAGGGTATAGAAACGCAAGATTCAAAAATAAAGCTATTAAGAATTTCCCACCGCCCAACACCGCCAAGAAACTTTCTCTTTCCTTGGGTTATGTTCTTACTATCGATCTTTCATAAAAGATTTCGCTAATATTGTTGAACCACTCTTAGTAATCAAAAGAAAAAAAGAGTAAATTTACGTGGACAGCGGAAGCTAACACAGCTTTTGAAAGATTAAAAGAAGCGCTTATTAATGCCCCTGTTTTAAAATTCCCTGGAGGGGGACGAAAACCTGGAAATTGCAGCAGATGCGTCAGACTATGCGGTGGGTGCGGTTCTTATGCAAAATAACCATCCGCTGGCATTTTTTAGTAAAACGTTGAATCAGACACAAAGGAATTATACAGCTACAGAAAGAGAAACATTAGCCGTATTAATGGCTGTACACAAATTTCGAGTTTATTTCGGCAAATCGCCAGTAACAGTCTTTTCGGATCATGCGGCTGTTGGTAGACTTTACTCGGGAAAAAAAACCTAACGCCCAGGTTAATAAGATGGGCTTTAAAACTCCAAGAATATAATATCACAATAAAATATAAACCGGGTAAGGAAAACAATGTAGCTGACGCACTTTCTCGTATAAAAACTGGACGATGAAGGAAATGAACTTAAATGCGCTGTGTTGACTTCAAAAATTTTAGATTCTAGAGATACGGTTATTACTGAACTGAAAGCTGATCCTGAATTTGGAAATATCTATGCTTATTTGAAAGACCCCGAAAGCTTTGAGCATACAGATATCGATGCGATAAGAAATAGAGCAAAAAACTATGAAATAATAGATAATTTATTATTCTATACGAAAACAACAAACGAAAATCTTGAGTATAAGCCAGTCATCCCAGCCTCGCTTCGATTAAGCATTTTGAAGGAGTTGCACGAAGAAAAAACAGCGGGCCACCTCGGGGTCAGAAAGACTATAAAAAGGGTACGCGAGGCGGTATATTTCCCGCAATTATACAAAATAGTAACGGCGTATGTCAGGTCCTGCAATCAATGTCAGTTAATAAATGATATTAATTACAGCCCGGCCGGGTACTTAAATAGCATTCGCGCTACATTTCCGAATGAAATTTTAGGCATAGATCTCCTTGGTCCCTTCCCCCAGAGCGAGTTAAATAAAAATCGTTTTCTTTTAGTAATAGTAGATCATTTTTCAAAATGGATAGAAATTGTTCC